AAAAAAAAAAAGATATAGAATGTTTTTTCCTCAGGCTGCTTTACAGTCATGCCTCCCACCCCACCAGAGGCAAGCACAGTCTGACTTCTGTCGCCACAGATCCACGTGGTCTTCCACTGGATGTCTAGAGATGGAGCCCCACTGCTCGTGTTACTGGGCCTGACCTGTCTCACTCAATAGGGTTGATGCCTGAGACATTCTGCCGTGGTGTTGCGTGTATCTCTCGTTTGTGAATTTTAATTGCTGAGTCGTGTTCCATTATATATTTATGCCATTGTTTGTTCATTTTCCTGGTGATGGGCATGTGGGTTGCTTTTCAGTTTTGGCTGACATAAAGGAAGCTCCTAGGCATGTTTTTGTACAAGTCTTTCTGTGGACATCTGTTATCATTTCTATAAGAGGGTGGAAAACTGCTGGGTCATAGGATAGGAGCCTGTTTAATTTTGTAAGAAACCACCACACAGTTTTTCAAATTGCTGTACCATTTTTTGATCCTACCGGCAGTGTGTGAGAGTTCCAGCTGCTCCACGTTCCCACCAACATTTGCTAAGGTCGGTCTCTCTGATTTCAGCCATTCTAATGGGTGTGGAGTGGTATCTTACTGTGGGTGCCACTGGCGTTTCTCTGATGACTGTTGTTTTTAAGCACCTCTTTGTAAACTTATTTGCTGTGTGTGCGACTTTAAGTATTTTGTCCATTTTTAACTGGGATGTTTATCTTTGTCTTATTAATGTGTAGGCATTCTTCATATATTCTGTTTGTCAGCCCTTTGTAAGACATAAGTTGCCAATATTTTTCCTGGTCTGTTACTTGCTTTTCACTTTCTAACTATGTTTTTTAATGAGTAGAAGGGTTTGTATGTTAAATGAAGTCTCGTTTATCCATTTTTTTCCTTTCACTGCTAGTGCTCTTATAGCTTTTCTAGACATTAAAAATTAGCAGACTTTGAATATACACACAATCCAGAAGGTGATACAAAGTATTTTTTAAATGTTTCTGGCCAGCAAGCTTCTTCTACACAAAGTCAGCCTTATTTGAGCCCTTGGAAGTTTGCTCTCTTTTGTGTGGCACCTCTTTTTCATATCATAAAGTGAATATTTAGCTTGTAAATCCCATTTATGTACATGAAATGGATTGGTGAATGATTCAAGGAATGCCCAGTGCTGTGACGAAGTGGCTTCTCGGGGCACACTACACCTGTTAGCAGGGCCAAGTCAACTCTCTTCGTCCAACAACAGTCAGCAAAATAAAAGGTGGCCCTGGCGGATTGTTTGGTGGAATTTTACAAGTTCAGCTCAGTCTCATGAATCATTTGGTAGTGATGTCTTTATCACGTGAAGACTTGCTCACTTAACCCTTGTTCTCGTGTCTGAGGACGGGTGTGTTCACTGTACTTTAGTTTCCAGTGGGCTTTCCTACAAGGCGTCTCGTCCGACCTCGTGGAGTGAGTAGGGCAGGGGTTATCACCTCGCTTTACTCGTGAACATCCCCGTGTCAGCACCTGGGAACACACAGGTAGGAGTTACCGGGCCGGGGCTATGACCCGTTTTTTGAAACTCCTAACACCCTGCATTTTGGCCTGTACCTGTGTCCAGACGGCCCCCCTCACGGAGTGGCCGGCGTGGTGATCCTGGAGTCTGAGCAGCACTGATTCAGCTCATGCATGTCCACCTGGAAAGGGGGAGGCAGGCGCAGACCCAGGCCTGTCCTTGGTTCTGCTGCCTCTGGCTGGCTTGCCTCACACAGGTCACTGAACGGCGCTGAGTAGATTTCTTCTTCTGAAATGTGAAGGCTTGAGACGATGCGTGTAGGGGGTTGGGGGGAAGTCTGTGACCATTGTTTGTATTTTTCTGTGCATGAGAGACAGAGGTATGCCCCAATTTGCAAAACCTCGCCTGCGTGCACACACCAGCCCAGAGTTGACAGCATAGTGCTGCGTGGGACCCTGTTACTGTGCAATCTGAGTAGTGGCATCTCGGCTGGTGGTGCGCTGGGAAACTGCTGGTTAGTTATGTGTATGCCCCCTCCCCACCGTCCTAGAGGCAGGCTCCTCGAGGCCAGGCAGACAGCATCTTGCTCTTCCGCATGCCGCACAGTGTGTATCCAGGATGGAGTGCATGTCAGCTGGTCTACCATGTGCGTGGAAAGAAGGACAGTTGTCGTTGCTCTCCATCAGGAGGCACAAGGGCCGGCTTTTGTGTGGACTCTAAAACTGTCCACCTGCGTGTATTAGGTAGGACAGCGTCAACTGCTGTAACAAGTCAGCCCACAACTTCAGTGGCTTCGTGCAGAGCACATTTCTCTCCTGCATGGTAACCATGTAGGGTGGTGTCTCCGGGTCAGCAGGCAAGCAGCTGTTCTCCACATGCACATGACTGGGGGTCCAGGCCCTGCTATTGTGTAGCCCCGTCATCCTCAGGGGCCTTGAGGTCCTCTGCCTCCATCTGGTAGATACCAGAAGAAAATGTGAAGAAATCTTGCCCACTTGTGCAACGCTATGGCACAGCAGGGACACACATGTGTCTGTGACATCCCTTGTCAAGGACCAGCCACGTGACCTGGATGCTACAGGTGCTGGGCCCTGTGGTCTTTCCCTGGAGCCATCTCTTGGTGACTTTATCAGTCAGGATTCTCCAGAGAAACAGAATCAGTAGGTTGTAGGTATAGATATAGATACAGGTATAGACATAGATACAGGTGCAGCTATAGATACATATGTAGACATGGATACAGGTATAGACATAGATACAGGTGCAGCTATAGATACATATGTAGACATAGATACAGGTATAGACATAGATACAGGTGCAGCTATAGATACATATGTAGACATAGATACAGGTATAGGCATAGATACAGGTACAGCTATAGATACACATGTAGCTATAGACATAGATACAGGTATAGGCATAGACACAGGTGCAGCTATAGTTACGTATGTAGCTATAGACATAGATACAGGTATAGGCATAGATACAGGTGCAGCTATAGTTACATATGTAGCTATAGACATAGATACAGGTATAGGCATAGACACAGGTGCAGCTATAGTTACATATGTAGCTATAGACATAGATACAGGTATAGGCATAGACACAGGTGCAGCTATAGTTACATATGTAGCTATAGACATAGATACAGGTATAGGCATAGACACAGGTGCAGCTATAGTTACATATGTAGCTATAGACATAGATACAGGTATAGGCATAGACACAGGTGCAGCTATAGTTACATATGTAGCTATAGACATAGATACAGGTATAGGCATAGACACAGGTGCAGCTATAGTTACATATGTAGCTATAGACATAGATACAGGTATAGGCATAGACACAGGTGCAGCTATAGTTACATATGTAGCTATAGACATAGATACAGGTATAGGCATAGACACAGGTGCAGCTATAGTTACATATGTAGCTATAGACATAGATACAGGTATAGGCATAGATACAGGTGCAGCTATAGATACATATGTAGCTATAGATATAGATACAGGTATAGGCATAGACACAGGTGCAGCTATAGTTACATATGTAGCTATAGACATAGATACAGGTATAGGCATAGATACAGGTGCAGCTATAGATACATATGTAGCTATAGATATAGATACAGGTATAGGCATAGACACAGGTGCAGCTATAGTTACGTATGTAGCTATAGACATAGATACAGGTATAGGCATAGATACAGGTGCAGCTATAGTTACATATGTAGCTATAGACATAGATACAGGTATAGGCATAGACACAGGTGCAGCTATAGATACATATGTAGCTATAGATATAGATACAGGTATAGGCATAGACACAGGTGCAGCTATAGTTACGCATGTAGCTATAGACATAGATACAGGTATAGGCATAGATACAGGTGCAGCTATAGATACATNACATAGATACAGGTATAGGCATAGACACAGGTGCAGCTATAGATACATATGTAGCTATAGATATAGATACAGGTATAGGCATAGACACAGGTGCAGCTATAGTTACGCATGTAGCTATAGACATAGATACAGGTATAGGCATAGATACAGGTGCAGCTATAGTTACATATGTAGCTATAGACATAGATACAGGTATAGGCATAGATACAGGTGCAGCTATAGATACATATGTAGCTATAGATATAGATACAGGTATAGGCATAGATACAGGTGCAGCTATAGTTACATATGTAGCTATAGACACAGGTATAGACATAGATACAGGTATAGGCATAGATACAGGTGCAGCTATAGTTACATATGTAGCTGTAGACATAGATACAGGTATAGACATAGATACAGGTATAGGCATAGATACAGGTGCAGCTATAGTTACGTATGTAGCTATAGACATAGATACAGGTATAGGCATAGATACAGGTGCAGCTATAGTTACATATGTAGCTATCGACATAGATACAGGTATAGGCATAGATACAGGTGCAGCTATAGTTACATATGTAGCTATAGACATAGACACATGTATTGACATAGATACAGATGTCCGTATAAAGGACATAGAAATACGTATATATTAAGAGATTCATTTCAAGGAATTGGCTCCCACGACTGTGGGGATAGACAATTCTGCAATCCATAGGCCAGAGGAGCAGGCTGGAACTCCCAGGCAGGAGCAGGTGCTGAAGTCTTGAGGCAGAATTCCTTCCCCAGGGAAACCTCAGTATTGATCTTACAGCCTTTTAACTGATTGGAGGAGGCCTGCCTACATGATTGAGGAGAACGTTTACTCATTCTCGGTATAAACCACATCCACAAAATACCTTCACGACACTAGATTAGTGCTTGGCTGAAAACTGGGTGCTGTAGCCTGGTCAGGTTGGCATGTGAGACTGACCATCACACTATGTGACAGACCCACACTCTGGAAAAAGGGATGGGCAGCGCCTACCTCTGCGCTGCTGTTGACCCTAGGTGCCCTCTCCTTTTCCCCAGGCGTTGATTTCCTCACCTGTAAATTCAGGCTGATGGACTGGGTCATAACTTTGTCCTTTTGCCTCAGAATTCTACAGATTGACCTGAAATCAGGGGTGCTCCCAATGATGGGTCTCGAATAAGGAACAAATACAAAGTAATTTCACAGTCATCACTAGGAGCCCATTGATGAGTCCGTTTACGAAAATTAACACATGTGTGTTAGTTTTCAGTGGCACATCTTATGTGCAAATAGAAACCGTGCCCCCCAGAGCAAATCGTGTTCGAGTTGCTGAAACAAAGAACATGACTGTTGATGGGCAGCATTTGTGTAGAACAAGGTGAGAAAACAGGTGTGGTGAATCGCCACCACCCGTCCCTGTCCCCAGCCTCCAGAGGCATGTAGAATCTGATCACTCAAAAGCTGCTGAGATAGGAGTGGTGGCCCAGTGTCCAGGCAGCTCAGACCTCGTGTGTACGATCCACATTCTCAATTCCTGCCTTGCTGCCATGAGCATACCCACATGAGCTGCCCCAGTGTGATTTTGGAGTATCCTCTGCCATATGCACGGTGTCAGAGCCTGTCAGGAGTCAGGAGCCTCAAACAGCTGCAGGAACCACCAAGGAAGTGACTTTGTGGGTTCCCTCACTGAATGGACTTCCAGAATCCTACAGCTGAATGTGTCCGAGGTGTGATCTAAGCCAGCTGCCTGGATTCACGAGCTCTCTCTTCACATAGGCAGCTCCTATTCCAAATCCCTGTCAGGGACTCTCCTTACAGCCACTGTCGAATTTACCTGAGTGGTGGCTCGTGGCCAGGAACATCTTACCAGCTCAGCATTTCTATTTACTCTGAGAAACGTCTCCTGCCTGCCATGGGCCTAGTGCTCTGATGGGCTAATGGGTGCACATTTTCAGATCTTCAGAGCATGTGGATTTCTGGCTGGTGGTGTCGGCTGGTGTGGGCTTGGTCTTCCCAGGAACATCAGGCCGCTCTCTTGCCTTCGCCCCCCTGCCCCAGTGGGGGTCTGAAGCCGCATCCAGAACCATCCCTTCCTCTCTCCATTTGGACATCCTCGTGTGGTCTTGGCAGGGCTTCAGTAGGCACTTGAAGTTTACCAAATCCCTCACCCCAATCCAACCCACTGGTCAGGGCTAAGCAGGAGAATGATCGTGACCTCCTCATGGTTTTCCTGAATGTTGTGACTATCCACAAGTGACTAGTGGCCACTGTCCCTTGAGATTTCCTGTCTGTGGCCATTGATAGGAGAGGAAGTAGGAGGAGGGGTAAGTATGGGAGGGAGTGGCTCATCCACGATGGCCCGGGGCTGGGGACCTGTCCTCTTGCCGACCCCTCCTCATTGTATAGCACTAGATCAATCCCTACTTGTCTGCTCTCCCTGCGCAGCCAAGGTGATGCCGTTCATAGTGGTGATGGTGGTAGTGGTGCAATGATGCTCTTGGTAATGGTATTGGTGATGCTGGTGGTGGTGGCAGCAGTGGTGATAGTGCTGATGCTAATGATGGTGGTACCAGTGATGGTGATGCTGTGAGGGTGGTGGTGGTAGTACTGGTGATGGTGACAGTGATGTTGGTGGTAGTGGTAGTGATAATGATAGCAGTGATGCTGATGATAATGATGATGACAGTGATGGTGACGATGATGATGGTGGTGGTGGTGGTGATGGTGATGATGATGATGGTGGTGATGATGGTGGTGGTGGTGATGATGATGGTGGAGATGATGATGGTGATGGTGGTGATGATGATGATGGTGGAGATGATGATGGTGATGGTGGTGATGATGATGATGGTGATGGTGATGATGATGGTGGTGATGATGATGATGGTGGAGATGATGATGGTGATGATGGTGATGATGATGATGGTGATGGTGATGATGATGGTGGTGATGATGATGATGGTGATGATGATGATGGTGGAGATGATGATGGTGATGGTGGTGATGATGATGATGGTGATGATGATGATGATGGTGGAGATGATGATGGTGATGGTGGAGATGATGATGATGATGATGATGGTGATGATGATGGTGATGATGGTGGAGATGATGATGGTGATGGTGATGATGATGATGATGATGATGGTGGTGATGGTGGAGATGATGATGATGATGGTGGTGATGATGATGATGATGGTGGTGATGGTGATGATGGTGATGGTGGAGATGATGATGGTGATGATGGTGATGATGATGATGATGATGGTGGTGGTGATGGTGGAGATGATGATGATGATGGTGATGATGATGGTGATGATGGTGGAGAT